GGCCCCAGGGGTCGGCGGATTATGGGGACCTCCGAAAACACCCCCAAATGCAGTCATGCTCCATGCTCTGTCTGCCTGTCATGTTCAAGCATCCTGTGACCTTTCTCATCACAATCCTTTGCGGACACAGTTACCTCCCTCATGCCTGTTGCGTGTGGTGCAAGATAATAGAGACTATACAAGGGTATACAGGGATTACATAGGGGTATGTAGGGATTATATAAGGGTATATGGGGATTCTATAGGGGTATACAGTGGTTATATAGGGATTACACAGAGAATACCCAAGCGAGATATTCCAGAAATCTGCAGGGTCTTCTCTGTTATTGGGATAATAGCCCCTAGGTATCCCAAGCGGTTATCTGTGACGCAGCTTCTTGTTGACTCAATCCATAACAAACATCAGCCTCAAGTTTCCTGTCCTGACAGGGCATGCTGGTGTCATCAGTCGCCTGCGCGAAAGCGGGGCCGCGCTCAATTCCACCCCTAAACATGGGGCCACACCAGTGTCAGCTGCCGTGCAGAATGATCACCTGGAGGCAGGCACGAAACCAGCTTTTCTCAAGCTTCCAGTTGAGGAAGATTTCTATGCCCTAAAATGCCTAAAAAAATACACTTTTCCAAACTTATTGCATTTTCCGATCTCCCACTCTCACCTGGAAAGTGATTGAACATCCTGCCTGGGTGAGGGACGATCAACCAATCTCTTTGCCTTGCCGTGCTCTGCCGCGCTTTGCTAAGCTTCGCTGAGTGACCCTAAGCCTTACTGGTGCTTAAAGGGGAGTGCGGGAGTGAACATACGGACGTTTCTAGGGGTATATTAAAATATATTGGGACTGTATGGGGATGATTTTAAGGATCCCCCCCCACTCTCTCTTAAGCACCAACAAGAAGCCGTCATTATGCTTTTGCTTGTAGTGTTTTGTTGTGGGCATCTTCGTCTAGACTACCCTAAGATTGGTAACCGTTGCTGGCAAACGCACGGAGGACTTAGGTGGACCCCCACCCTGTAATGGTGGTTATAAAGGATACGTAATGGTGAGTCTTGTTTTTAGGTGTGTATATATATATATACATACATATAGAAGCATTAGCCTGCTGATGGAGAATGATATGGAAAAGGTAGCAGAGCATACGCTGGAAGCTGGGTTTGTGTAGGGGTTAAAGTTACTCAGCAGCCCTAGATCTTGAAAACAACCCTAGACCCTCGCAACGGCAAACTCAAAGCCTAAACTCTAAGCCAAGCAGCAAACCATACAGGCCCTGAACCCTGAAACTCATGAATGGCATCCAGAATTTTCTTGATGCAGTGTTTGAATCCAAAAAGTCCAGCCAGGCTTCCAACGCCTGCTCTGTTGGAACCTCTTGGGAAGAGAAGGTCAGAGGAAGAGAGAGTATGGCAGGGGGAGGTTGGGGGCCCCTAAACCCAAAACCCCTAAGCCCCAAAACCCTTAAACCCTTAAACCCTTAAACCCTAGACCCCTAAACCCTAAACCCTAAATCCTAAACCCTAACCCCAGGAAGGTACAGGGAGGAGTTGTCTCGTTTTGGTGCACTTCAGCCGCCTGGCCCAGGGCCCTTGAAGGCCTCTCGCTACTGTCCTGGTGGGTGGCGGGGGAGGGGGTTCAGCAAAACATTGAGGCGTCGAGAAGTGACAGCGTGTTCTAAACGCCTTGGATGCTTTGGAGACTTTGGTAGTAAGAATTCAAGTTCCTTAACAGCAACCCAGCTTTCTGGATTGATCAGATTTGAGCATGGCCATGTTCCAGAAAGGGCAGCCTGGCTGCTTTCAATTTGCGTGGTGTTTGTCTTCGGCAGAATTAATCGTTCGCCTCTGTCTGCCCTGTAGGTATCATGCCAAACCCGAAACCCTAAACCCTAAACCCCAAACCCCAAAGCCTAAATGCCATGGGAGATGATGTGCCAGGTTCTGAAGCTCCTGATCAAGATGGGGTCGGATGTTTCCATCGCAAACGTAGAACGCATGACCCCTTTGAAGCTCGGTTTAGGGTTTAGGGTTTAGGGTCAGTGTACTCCTGTCAAGACAACCCATGGGTTGCATATGGGTTCTATTGGGGTTATACAGGGATTATTCGGGTTATAGGGGTAATATAGGGATAATGGACAAGAAAATGGAAACTAGTATAGTATATTGAGGTTATATTGGGATAATGGAAGAGAAAATAGAAACTACTATAGTATATTGGGGTTATATTGGGATAATGGAAAAGAAAATGGAAACCCTAGGAGGCACCACAAAGGTCATGTTGCAGATTGGCCTTAGGTGCCCTTAGTCCGCGTGTGAGGGGTGGCCTAAACCCTAAATAGTAGTCCTATATGATCCCTATATAATCCCCATAAAATCCCTACACAATCGCTAAATCCTAAACCGGATGTCAATTCATCGTCGCCTCATCCTTCAGGAAGCAGTTGTGGCATGGTTTGTATGAATAACAACCACAGGAATCTGGTGTGATGCATAGATGCTAAGCCGACATGTCAAACGGTGAATCTGGAAGCTTGCCTAAACCCTAAACTGAATCCTGAACCTTCAGAAGCCGAAAAACCCGCCTGCACCACTTAGGCACTATGGCGCGCAAGGTGGAAAGCTGGAGATGGTAGAGCTGCTCCTGCAGGTGCCTGCACTTGCTGAGAATTCAGCTTGCAATCACATGAGCTATAATCTAAACTCCTGAAAGGGGGACTATATAGGGGGTTATATATGGAACTGTTATAGGGGTTACTAAGGGGATTTAGGGTTTAGGGTTTAGGGCTATAGCTCACATAAAGGGAGCAGGGTATGCATTAATTCCCAGCCCGCATCTGCAACGATGTGGTGAGGCGCTCGCCAACGTGTCAGCGCAGCTGCTCACTGCCAGTTGAGCAAACTTTATTATTGTCATTGCTGCTGTTGTTGTTGTTGTTGTTGTTGTTCTTGTCATTACCAATGTTATTATTGCGGTTATTGTTACTGTTGCTATTTTTCCTATGGTTTTCATTCTGTTAGTATTTTATCATTCTTGTTTTGTTTTTATCTAGTTATGGTCTATGGTACCTCAATGGACCTCAAAATGATATTGGTAATTAATTAGGCCCCTGTAGTACAGCTTCACGATGCTTGCAAGCATCGGAACTCCATCAGCACTCGACTTGTGTCACATATTTCTGCCCGCGATTCAGATGCACCAGCACTAAGCCAAGCGCTGCTCGCGATAGGCAGCTGTAACATTCCACTCCGGTGGCACGTCAACTTACCGGTGATTACTAGGGAGCTCTTTTCCTACTAACCCCCAGGAAGTGAAGGGCTTCAGGACTGATTTTCCTGTTGGGTTGGGGCTTCCCTTCCGAAAAGTGGATTGTGTCAGGCAGGTTATATAGGGGAGTACTACAGGGGTTATTAAGGGGCATACTAGGAGTTTAGACTGTACTCCCTAGACCATATGGGTCATTAAGGGGAATGCTAGGAGTTTAGACTCTAGCTCACATTTCGTACACTTCTGCTCAAGACTGCAGACAGGGAGTTGGGAACTAAGGACCAGGAACGGAAAAAGCGCTCTGGAGTTGGCGGAAGCCGAGACATTGGCATCTTGGTAGCTTTGTAGACCCCATAATCCCCAAGCCCTAAACCCTGAACCGCCTTAATTTTGGGCGTGCATTCTGGTATCCATGGCTGGTCTTGCTGGCCTACAGCCCGCGACCATGGAGTTCGGAATTCAGAGATGGGTGGTTTCCCAAAATTGTCGTTACTTTTTGAGGTCCTCAATTTGCAACTTTTGCATTTTGGCGTCTACATCGGGGGTCCCCCTGTTTAGGAAAACTTCCAGCTACGCCTTGCACTTAACATGCCTTGCCATCATGCTAGGATCCATGGTCCGCAAAACTGCACATTTTGGGATAATGGAAAAGAAAATGGACACTACAGGGATTATAGAGGTGCTATGAGGGTTACATTGGGGCTATAGTCGAAACTCTTTCAATGCGGTTAATTTATGGGATCATTTCGGGAAGTATTATAGGGTTTACTAAGGGCGATGCTCGGAGTTTAGAACACGGGAACCCTAAACCCTAAACCCTAAACCCTAAACCCTATGCAGGCATTATCTAAGTTGTCGAGCCACCCATAGGCTCCCCTGAAGGCGCACGACTGCTCCCTTCCACTGAATGCAGAACATGGGGATTTCCCAAAATTAGGGGTATGATTTTGAGGGTCCCAATAATAGGGATTATAGTATATTGGGGTCTATATTGGGGTCCCCTTATTTTGGGAAACTACCACATATTCAGTGCATTTGATTGGCAGCCTTCATGCATAGAAGGGGCACGCCGTCTGCATCTCCGCAACAAATTGCGTGCCTCAGGTATGTTCACGCGATTCAGGCTGTAGGGATTAGGGTTATTTAAGGGCTGCCGCCGCTCCCGCCGACCCCGCAAAGGGGCGGCTGCAGCACAGGGGCAAATTGAGGGGTCCTCCCGGGAGTACTGTAACACATTAGATTTCTG